GAATGGGATAAGTTAGGGGGGCTGTGGGTATGAGGTAAACTGTGGGAGGCCCGTGAGGACTGGGAGAATGTGATAAGTTAGGGGGGCTGTGGGTATGAGGTAAACTGTGGGGGGCCCGTGAGGACTGGAAGAATGGGATAAGTTAGGGGGGCTGTGGGTATGAGGTAAACTGTGGGGGGCCCGTGAGGACTGGAAGAATGGGATAAGTTAGGGGGGCTGTGGGTATGAGGTAAACTGTGGGAGGCCCGTGAGGACTGGGAGAATGTGATAAGTTAGGGGGGCTGTGGGTATGAGGTAAACTGTGGGGGGCCCGTGAGGACTGGAAGAATGGGATAAGTTAGGGGGGCTGTGGGTATGAGGTAAACTGTGGGGGGCCCGTGAGGACTGGAAGAATGGGATAAGTTAGGGGGGCTGTGGGTATGAGGTAAACTGTGGGAGGCCCGTGAGGACTGGGAGAATGTGATAAGTTAGGGGGGCTGTGGGTATGAGGTAAACTGTGGGGGGCCCGTGAGGACTGGAAGAATGGGATAAGTTAGGGGGGCTGTGGGTATGAGGTAAACTGTGGGGGGCCCGTGAGGACTGGAAGAATGGGATAAGTTAGGGGGGCTGTGGGTATGAGGTAAACTGTGGGAGGCCCGTGAGGACTGGGAGAATGTGATAAGTTAGGGGGGCTGTGGGTATGAGGTAAACTGTGGGAGGCCCGTGAGGACTGGGAGAATGTGATAAGTTAGGGGGGCTGTGGGTATGGGGTAAACTGTGGGGGGCCCGTGAGGACTGGAAGAATGGGATAAGTTAGGGGGGCTGTGGGTATGGGGTAAACTGTGGAGGGGCCCTTGAGGACTGGGAGAATGGGATAAAAAGTCATGGGGGCTGCGGGTATGAGGTAAACTGTGGGGGGCCCGTGAGGACTGAGAATGGGATAAAAAGTCAGGGGGGCTGCAGGTATGAGGTAAACTGTGGGGGGCCCGTGAGGACTGGGAGAATGGGATAAAAAGTCAGGGGGGCTGTGGGTATGAGGTAAACTGTGGTGGGCCCGTGAGGACTGTGAGAATGGGATAAAAAGTCAGGGGGGCTGCAGGTATGAGGTAAACTGTGGGGGGCCCGTGAGGACTGGGAGAATGGGATAAAAAGTCAGGGGGGCTGCAGGTATGAGGTAAACTGTGGGGGGCCCGTGAGGACTGGGAGAATGGGATAAAAATTCAGGGGGGCTGCGGGTATGAGGTAAACTGGGGGGCCCGTGAGGACTGGGAGAATGGGATAAAAAGTCAGGGGGGCTGCGGGTATGAGGTAAACTGTGGGGATGGGTGTAAACGGTAAAGGGGGGTTGTGGGGACTGGGAGTATGAAATAAACAGTGGGGGGCCGTGGGAGAGTGGGGGGTGTCTGGTGGGTACTGAGAAATAGAGGGTGGACAATAAGGGGAGACTACAAATGTAAGGGGAGGGTTAGTGGAGTAAGTCGGCAGAGGGGAGTTAATTAAAGTTTATTTTGAGGAAAATGACAGACTGGGTCGAACTGGTTATGCTGGGGAGGGTGCGGCGGATATGATAAGCTGGGAGGAATGTGAGAGAGAAGGAGTTGGGGAGGGGAGATAACGGCTCAATAGATGATTAGAGGAGGAAGAAAGATGAGACTGGAGGAACATGGTGGACAAGTACAGCGAGACTCAGGTCGGAGAAAGGGAATGGTGATAATAGAATAGGAGGAGGAGGTGGGAGGGCATACGAGACAAAGGAGAGAATCACACAAATGATTAGTCGCGAGGAGCTGGTTGAGTCAGGATGGAAGAGAGGGCATTGGGTTACGTTAATTAATCACGGGACAACTAATTTTCCTCCCTAAAACTGAAGTGAAGTTCTCATTCTTGTTACCGTATGTATATATGACTATGAAGCACAGTTTTCAATGGAACTTGATCTGATTTGTAAATGTTGAAATAAATTCGTCATGAATTATGTAAACAGTTAGTGTAACTATAGTTTGATCTGCAAGTTAAGTTTCGCGTGATCCTAAAATGCTGACGACTAAAGCTCATACTGCAGATCAGTCCAGTTATACTGTTCAAGTATCATCATTGGCTTGTAAACTTCTCGGCGCTTAAAAATGTTTAAGCTGTTCGAGAAGTACTGTTCTTTTATCTCTGGATTATAAGACGCCCTGGTCGCACACGTACTGCATTATAAGACTCGTCCCCTTTGCATCATGGGACCTCCATTGCCAGTACCAAAATATGATAATAGGTTTTCCCCTTTTTTCTGGCAATAAAACAGGTGTTAAGATGTTAAAACACCAAACTGAAACCTTTTACAAGGAATCATGTCTGCATTAACCACAATGCTTGTGGTCAGAATGCAAACAAAAGACATACTCTGATAATATATACATTGTCCTTGAAACTGATTGGTCCACACGAGAGACACCTTTCTTTTGAGCCTCGTCTCAAACGGACGCCAAAAGACCTTCTGGTGTGGACCAATCAGTTTCAAGGACAATGTATATATTATCAGAGTGTTTTTTTTTGCATTCTGACCACAAGCATTGTGGTTAATGCAGATATGATTCCTTGTAAAAGGTTTCAGTTTGATATTTTAACATCTTAACACCTGTTTTGTTGTCAAAAAAAGGGGAAAACCCTATTATCATCTCTTTTGCTTTAAAATACAGGGGGAAGAGTGCGTCTTATTCTCTGGGACTGCACGGAGCATGGAATGCGCACCAAGCCACTACCTTAAATATATTGTCTCTAAATAATGAGCTCAGAATACAGAAAATTTTGGCAAAGCACCTTTAAAAATAACGTTCATTATTTATTGTTTTTCGTACACCCTGTATGGGCATGCATTTTGTAGGCTGCCCTCCAATAAGTCTAAAAACTAAGCATTGGTGTAATAAGTTCTGAAACATCAATCGTTTTACATGTTTCCCACCGATCTCAATCATCATCAGCCATAATCAAGTCACAAGCTGCGCATTTAATCCAAGCCACCCGAGTTTGATTCCAGGTCACGGCTAATGATCATAACTGAGCGTGTGATGCAGCTTCATATTCACCATCTTGCACACAGACCAGCGTGGTGAAGTATGGTTAAAGAACCCCATGTTCCAAAGGCGTGGGGGAGGTTTTTATTCAACTGTAGATTGATAAAAGACTATACAAATTCCTATTTTATTACCACCCAGTTACTTGGGTGGTGTACACGTTTGTAATGTGGTGCCGTTTTGATAAAAACAAATCTCATGGTTTATCTCGTAAAATAAATGATTTTAAATAACTGCGAAGTTGTAGCTGTGTGACGACCGTTCTAAACTGTACAGAAAAAACACAGTATAATCACACTTGGATTGCATCCTCTAATGTTGATTTGTAAGTGGAAGGTCATGTAACCCCACCCTCTCCCATGTTTCGCTCTCAGCCATTCTTGCAAGTGTTAGGCACCCCGTGTCCTTTACAAGGTAACGAGCTGTTTTGACCAAGGCCATTTTAACTCCAGGATTTAAAAGTGCAATGTGCACTTCCGTATCATCTGTAAACAGTCATTAACATAGAAACTGTACGTGTCTGCATTCTCAAATGGTAGCTATACAGTGACTCAGAATATCCCACTAAATTGATAGGGAGAAATGAGAGAGAATTTTTTTTTAACTCGAAACCTCTACACGTCTCCCACCAATCTCAATTATCAGCAGCAGCCATAATCCGCAGCTGTATTCAGACGTCCAAGAGGTCAACATCTTTTCACGATCCTGCAATCTCATTACTCAACAGTACTTGTATATCTTTTAACACTCACCCGATGCACTTTGGCATACATCGCCAGTCTGATTTGCTTACAGCATTCCGTGGTGCATAAACTGAGGTCCTTGCTATCTCAGTAATGTACTGAATATAAAAAAGGTCATCCTGTACTTTGTGATTTTTTTAGTTTTCATAAGCAGTGTGACAATTTGTTTTGCTACACTTAAACATATGGGTGTTTTTTCCACACTGATCCCATAAAATAATAGTTGCTTTCTCCAACTCTTGTATAACCCGTTTATGACGACGATAAGCTTTGAATATGCTTGACGATTCGACAAGTGTGACTGATGACATGTTCATGGCCGTAAACGTAAAAAAATACCTTGTAAAGATGAAAACATCCTTAAGTGTAATGATGTGAGTTTTTGTATAGTACGGCTACTCTCAGCATGTATTCTGATTTTTTGTTTAGCACACAAATTGGTGATGTGTTCGAAATCTACTGCTATGTACAACGTATATAACTAGCAAAATCCATTGTACTGTGCAGTACTTGTGTTCCCACATGTACACTTCCTGCCTTTGCCTGCTCGTATGTTGGAAGTACAGTATGGTGAAACAGCCTCCACAACACGAATGATGTTTAGAGTCCCTCATTCAGTAGTGGATTGACAAAAGGGCTTTACATGTGCAAAGATATATATATAGAAGGCCTCAGAATGGACACACGTGGCTAGATGGTAACCTTTGGATAGAGCAGTCGCCAAAAGGCTGCGAGTTCAAATTACGGTCAGCGTCTGCCTCTGTAAATCCTATGGCCAGGGTCGATAAATGAATACCACTTTTTGGGAAATGCAACTGGACTTCCGACAGATGATCTAGCCTTTACATGGAAGCTGTTGCCTTATGACTCACTTGAGAAGGGAACCACTTTGATTTGACTTTAAAAGCCAAGGGTGTGGTGTGTTTAATGCAAAAATACTGCCACGTTTTTAGGGGTGTTGACCTTATAAAAGCAATGAATACCCACGCCATATTTCAATGCACGTTTGTATATATCCTGTTATTAAATCATTGTATAATTATATGTATATCATACATTGTAGAAATTGTCTGACATCCAAGTATTTCTTGTTCTGTTGCAGCAGAGAAGAATCACGTTTCTTCTAAGCTTTACAAACCATTGCCAACAAAATTAGAGGTAAAGTAAAAGTTATTGAAACTTTTTATACACTTTCTACCTTGGATCCAAATACAGAATGATGAAAACACAGTTGTGGTAGAGTGATGGAGTGAGTTTGATACATTATGCTCATACTTCAAAACACATTGTTGATCAGTGCTTTGTTGCTTTTGTATATCCTTTAACAAATTCCATAATGCATGTATGTACTCGTGATAAGATATAGTACCCAAACACTATCAACAATAACATTCCATGACAAGCATATCTAATTGTTGAAATGTGAAAGTCCAGTGAGGCTACAAGTGTTTTTTTTAAGTTACTGTGGATTTGCCATAATGATAGTGCCTCATTGCAAGAGAGTTTGTATTTAAAATGTGACTTAACATGACCATTTTTACAGCAACACAAACCTACTTGAGCAGTCTTCTCAACACAACCCAAAATGGTTTCATATTGGTTTTTGGTATTTTGCTTCTCGATATACAGTATAACAATAGATAATCTAGGACAGAATATGGAATGACATAAAAAGATCAGTGTGACAGACAAAGCTAAAACTGCATAACAGGCATGTCATAATTAGAGAATAATTATATTTCGAGGTTGTGATTCAGTTCAAGAATCGATTAAAAAATAAAATGAATGTCATGGTGCATTTGGAACCAAATACAACATATATAAAACAATTGATTAATTCTCACTTGCACGATTCGATGTGCATATCGTGGGAAAAAGAACCAGGTTAATCAATTAATTATTTCACGCTTGCTATATAGTGTTACGCTAGCTTGAACACTCAACCGTTATTCCCCATCACCTTGCAGAAATCAATAAATGAATCGACAACAATGTACTAGTAACATATTTCTTTGTTGGACCACAAACATTGCTTTCATTGATTTGTTGTTGACAAGGGCACGGGTGTGTAGTTACAGCACCTGCAGCTGAGGAAGTTTTTTTTGCAGGCCCTGGGTACAGTGTGGTCTCAATATCATGTAGGACCCCAGACAAAGTCACAGGGAGACGACAACATGAGACCATGAGAAATAATTAATGACATGCAGCTTGCAGAGCGACAACAGAAATATTGAAAATGGTACAGAGAAAGAGAGACAAATGCAGACTTGGAGAGCGATATGGAGATATTCCATCACCATGGTAGTCATGCTGTTGAATGTATATTCCTTTTCCTACGATTCCATCATCAGTCTCGACCATTGGACACCATCTTACCTATAAACGTCACTTTTTGTCTGTCTGTCTCTCTGCGCAAGCCTATCTTTGTAAAGCTTTTAACTGACAAACTGTTGGGTTTATGTTTCTACAAAGTACACAGATACAACACACTGAGCGTGCGTTGTGCACGCATCTGCGCATGCTCGGAAAAACCGACTCGCGTTTGCCCCTAGCAAAGCAAACGAGCTTGCCAAGCGGTGACGGGAAGGAGGTTCTCCTTTGCATTAAAAATCCCAAAAAGAAAAAATCAAGCACAGTTACTGCTGCACAAACACACGCGGAGGTAAATCCTGAACAGTGTGATGTCCTCTTCTCCCCCCACCCCAATGCTTGCAGTTACTACTTAGAGTCAGTGAATACTACTGTAGAGTCTCTAGTTATTACTGAGAGTCAGTAGTTACTACTGTAGAATTGGTAGATGTTACTGTAGAGTCACTGGATGCCACTGTAATGTCGGTAGATACTATTGTAGAGTGGGTAGATACTACTCTTAATGTTCTTTCGGTAAAGTCACGTAGAAAGGAAATAAATTGAATAATAGCGTAGACGTTTCGATTGCAACACAAGCAACCGTCATCAGGGAGAGACACACGCCTCTGTGTGTCTATGTTGTGTCTCTCTCTGTGTGTCTGTGTTGTCTCTCTCTGCTTGTGTGGCTGTCTGTGTGTCTCCGTGTCTGTGTTTTATCTCTCTCTCAAATTTAGTTCTTCCTGATGACGGTTGCTTGTTGCAATCGAAACGTCGTACTCTATTATTTAATTTATTTTCTTTGTACGTGACTTTACCGCAAGAACATTAAGAGTAATTCCTGCAGTCATGAAGCTTCAAGTCAAGTTTGGGTAGATACTACTGCAGAGTTAGTAGATACTACTGTAGAGTCGGTAGATACTACTGTAGAGTCACTAGATAGAACTTACTTATATGGAGGGTGTGTAGGTATATATGCCTACAAAATAAAAATTGGGTGGGGGGTCGACAACTTTTAGAAACCTTTTAAATCAACTATTTGCCCCCAACTTTCTATTACTTTTTGATTCAGGCCTTCTGTAGGGCTCTTATAATACGGTTGATGGACAAACGGAACACCAGGCTTTTATAATAGCTTCGGATTTGTGTATGTATATGTTATGTTTTTAAGAGAAGACAAGTTTTTAAATATTTATTTTCCCCCGGGCAAAGCTGGGTACTTCCTGCTAGTCCCTAATAAATAGCCATGATGCTTCCTTACCAAGACCACTTACATTTCTTAACAATCAAAGAGATGTCTATAACTTATGTATGTTTTCTTATGTCTGAGTATCCTAATATGCTCATGATGCCTTCTTGGTGCTTTCTCCAGTGCTCACAACCACAGCTTACAATGTATCTGAGGACATGACTGTGTCTATTTTCATATACTCTGATATTCTTTTACAATTCTGTCCCTTATAATATTTTGTATTGCTTTAGCAAATTTAACTGTATGTTACCTTTATTCTCGTAAAACGTATCTTTCTTGACTTTTCTAATAGTTTCCTATAATTCCTTAAAAAAGCACATTTTAAATGACTAGGCCATTAGAAAATCACTGGTCTTGAACAAAAACATTGATTTGGAAACTCAGTACTGTAAAGGGGAACAGAAAGATATGCAGAGAAACAGACCCACAGAGTACAAATGTGGCCCCTGGGTACCAAGTTACAGATCTCATACAGCCCTCAGCTTCGTAATTCATAATCATCTGTGAAGGGAATTAAATAAACTGGTCAAACTTAAATAAACACGCTTAATTAGGTCAAAAGTTATCTACAAGTTTGTAACCAACACAGTTTGAAAAAAAAACTGGAAAGATGCAAATCTAATCTTCTTAGTACAGCACTGTATCGCACTTGTATATAGGCCTCGGTAAGGTAAGGTAATTTACCCTTTTTACCGGGTAAAAGGGTAAAGGTAAAGGTGTCGACATGCCAAGGGGTAAGGTAAAGGGTAGGGTAAAGGTAGCTCGGAAGAATTACCCGGTAGGGTAAAGGTAGCGTGAAGTATTACCCGGTAAATACGGTGCCTTGTTTACTGCTAAAAGCTCCGTGGCGCAGTCCGTGGCCTCCATTTAATAAGTAATATAAATTTTTTTTTAAACACACTTTTATGAAATGTACGAGTAATGGCAGAACTCCACGACTCCAGGAAGTGGCCCCGAAGCTTGCCACAACGTAAGGGGCCGTGGTGATTTACAGCCAACGTCAGTTGACCTTGGACAATAAGACCCAAGTCGAAACATAACATAAAAAAAATAATGTTAATAACGTATTTATTTTATGATAGAATATATTGTCATCAGTTTGACATAAGTATACAAAGTTTGCAGTCGATACCACAGGAAGTGGGTAAAAATTGAGTTACAAGATTTGAGGATACAACAACGACGACAACAACGACAACAACAAACGTGTAAAATTGGAATCATCGAGAGTATTCTATATAAATAAAGCGCTCTACCTAGCATTTACCGTTATAAACCTTGTTCATGTGTAGTTCCCTAGTAATTACCCTGTGATCGGGTAATTTGTATGGGGTAAGGGTAAAAGGTAGGGTAAAGGTAAGCTCGTTGCTTTTTACCTTACCTGCTGAAGGGTAAAAGGTAGGGTAGAGTGATTGTATTGTGGTAAGGTAAAAGGTAGGGTAAAGGTAGGCTCGTTGTTTTTACCTTTTAACTTTTACCTTACCTTGCCGAGGCCTACTTATATGCACACACATACTCTTTGGTTCTTTCAGTAAAGTCACGTAGGTAGAAATAAAGTAAAACTGTAGAACATCACGTCCAACTTGAGCTGTTTATGAAGTTTATGTGGACACCATTTTGTGAAAATTCACACATTTGTTGATCTCAGTTGGTCATCTCTCCAGTCACAGAATTGGTATTTGTTTTCCCATGATGGTGAACTTATGGGGCAAAAAAGAGAGCAAAGCTCCACCACAAATGGGAATACCTGATTGGAAAATGTTTATTCTTGCATAGTTTTGGCCTCATGGCTATAAAACATACTGACGCATTAGATATGATTGTAAACACGTTTATTATGTTTTGGCAGGTTAAACGTTTTCATAAATGTAGCCAGAGGTTCCAACTTGGATAGTTTCATCTTACATATCTCAAGTGTTTATTGTTTGCTAATAAACTTGCTGTTGGCCTTGCTGCGTTGGTAAATAATAATAAAAAGTCCACGGGGTGTGGGAGTTCAGTGAGTTCAAAGTACAGTGGAGTAAATTATAGTGTACTCACTACATTGTGAACCTAGCCACCTTTGTTTGATCATTGCCACAGCTAACAAGTAATGAGTTACATTTCAACTGGTTCTGGCCATTCCCTGCCCCCTCACTGCCTTTAACCCACACTGGCCAGCACGATTACAAAAGAAAAACTAAACACATGCGTCAATAACACAGCCTCAAAATATAGACATATATAATAGGCAAACAATGGGGCCCTCGTAGTATGTAGATTGCCAGAGCAATAAGGGTTGGAGATTGTGCTTAACACCATGGGTCCTCGTGAGAAATAAATTAAAACAACGTTTTCTAATGGGCTTAAAAAAAGCAATTATATTTACTTGACCAGCATTGTGAAGTATGATCAAACAGTCTCCATGACAGAAAGGCAAAACGAGAAGTGAATTCACAAAATTATTTTTGTATTAATATACATAGATAGCTATAGATAATTGTGTGGTGTTAAGTAAACGGATGAGACATTGCGAGTTACTTTAAATTGCAGCTATTACTGTACTCCTGTAAAGGATTTTTCAAACCACACATTGGTTATTACTTCAGCTGCAGTCAGCAAGGTATACACCCTGTTACATTATTTTTTGGAAATGCGTATTCATCATTATTGTGCGATGTTAAACACAAAATTAAAAATAATTACGATTTAGGCAAACCCAAAATGTCGAAAGCATTGGCTATCAAAATAGATTCAGTCTACATGAATGCTGCTAAAGTACTTGGTGCATGTTTTGCAGAAATTAAAAGAGGAAATTGTTCATCAGTTTGAGAGCAAGATTTCGGAGTTGATTGACAGTGTTATCGAAGAATCCTCCTCTACCATTGACTTGAAGTCTGCAGCTGTTTTGCAAAATGGAGGTGATGTTGAAAAAGTCAGGTAACAGACAGCATTGCTTTTACTTTGTTCCTTCAAGTATTATTGTTGCCTTTTTTTTCTTTACAAATCAGTTGGTTAACTTAATTTCGAGAAACATAAAATTAAGAGTGCCTGAATAACACGATTTTTCCAATGTGATAATTTGTAAACTTTAAATTACACTTCCGTTTGGTATTTACTTCCCTGTCAAATTGATCAAAGCAGCTCATAAAAATTTAATTTTTGGGTGATTAATATCTCGCTGTGTTAGATGGCAGCGCATTTGGTTCCAAAAAAAATACCTTGTTCTGCACATTTGAACGTGCATATAGTTTTCGTGACACGCAGCAGTCACGTGTGCAAAACTTACTAGTCCGGCTAAACGTTGAAAGGCATTTAATGCCACGTATGCATGTGCATTGTACAGAGTCACAGCTGTGCCACGAAATGAGCATTCTTGCTATTTAAAATAAGGGAACAAGCTTGGTAATGTTCATTTCATTACTGTCTGCTACTATAGCAGGTATTGAAAAGAATAACCAATAAGATTGTATGCATGTGGACTTTTTAAATATTGAAATGTACATTTTACAAATTATGCAAATTAGCATCCAAAAGCACAGAATAATCCTACAATGCACGGCCACAGTTTGAATGCAGTGGCCAAATAAACCCCATTCATTCTGGTTTAAACAAATCAGACCATAATCCTCTGACGACCAGATACTGGCAGTACTTTGGTGTTCATGCAAGTTTTATTTCCTGTGGCTTTTTAAAAGACATCTTTAAGAAATCCCCATTCATTTCTTGTGCAGGAGCCTCCGGCCGTTACCGGAAAAAGGGAAACTTTTTCTGCCCAGGCCCTCTGTTCTTGAGTAAGTGTTCATCTTGTGTCAGCTTAGCGTCAAGCACGTTGGAGGCTTTTAATACTCTTATATAAGCGCACAACTTTATCTGTGATGAACGCTGCACTTTCCGTCGTTTCATGCAGAGGGCGCTGCAAACCTACGCGCCCCCTGCATGAATGACGGAGGCGCAGGGACAGACGTTCGATTACGTTGGAATCGATGTGCAGATGGCGGTCTTCGGCCAGCTCTGTCGCTTTATCTCGATCCCGCAATCCCAAACAGGTGAAAGTCCGCATCGAACCGAACCCCCAGCAAGGCCATCTACTTAGCGACGAGAGAAAATTCACACGAAATGTCGTTGTCAATGAAGTCTTCCAGATGTAAAATGATATAAGCTTTTAATGGAGAAATAAAATTATCTAATTCAAAACATAATACAATTAAAAGATGTTTCGTCGTAAAACTTCAAAACGGACCATCGGGTGCTTGCGTGAATGCGTCGTTCGTGTGCAATTTTTTTCGTGACTTTCCTGGCCGAAGGCCGTAAATGAACAACCCCTAGTTTAGAATACTGCTTAAAAATAGGATGTCAAAGAGAATGTGTTCACCCTCAACTATACAAAGTATGTAGCATCTGACAACAGATACCATGTTTAAAATGTATGTGTGTGGTTGCTACATTTATACTTTATTATATTGAATATAACAATTTTGTTGAAGTGATGAGGTCCCAAAGTATTTTTTAAATTAATACATTTGCCGATGGTCACCTTTTCTTTTTCTCTACCCTTGTTGATATTGGCAGAAACAATTATCATACCCAAGTATGGGAGTTGTTTCATGATTCCAAAATGTGGCAAGAGATGCAATTGTGAAAAAAATATTAATAATGTGCAATCAAGCTTAGGGAAATTTGCAGTTGGGGACCATATTTGAGAATATTTAAGAATTAACTTAAATATTTACTGTTTAAGTTCAAGTAATAAAATAATAATAAAACATAATAAAATTATATAATAAAATAATATAATTCTCACTAATTGTGATATATCACAAAGGTAAACACTAGTTTTGTTATAATCGTGTTTAGGACGATTTTAACTGAAGGCCGCTGTTGTAGAAAAAGCAATGCTTATCTCATCTTTGTGAGACATGTTTTTCAAGTGATAAGTCATCGTCAGGGTCATTCAAGAGGTCATCGTTGCCATTGTCGGTCATTCTACCGCACCTCACTATCTTCCTCAACAATAATTATAACCCTTACTCAGCATGTTTTGAAGCGATAATCAGATGCTAAATTACCAGGATTTTATGGATGACTTTGTTTATTAAGTAGTTTTACAATCAAAAAGTTACATATTGCAAGCCCATTGAACCAAAGGCACTTACACTGCATTTTTGTTACCAAAATTTTCAGCTTATACATTTCATTTAGGAAGGAACATCATGTAATTATTTGCAATGAAATGTCATTCAGAATTGGGTTTATAATTACGTTTTTTTTTCAGTGAGCTGTTTGAGATCAACCACGTAAGAACAATCTACCACATGTTCATAGCGGTGTTGATGCTCTTCGTCATTAGCACTGTCGCAGTGGATTTTATCGATCAAGGAAGGTGGGTTATAGTAGCAGCATGCTTGTTCACATATACACAGTAACTTACTTTTGCATGGTGTTCTTAACATTAAAAAAATTTTATCTGGCTTACCTGGTTTCTTTTGTGTAAATCTACTGCAATGGGCAGGAGTCATTAAATGGCATTTACTTGGAGATAAACACAGACACAATCTTATATAATTGTATCCATTTATGCAGCTTCCATTTTTTTAGAGGACATCACAGTTCTGTTGAAAACACATTCAAAAGTGGTTTACTAAGCTGTGAAAATGTACACAAATGATTTTGACATTTTTCTTCCAACATTTAGGCTGGTGCTAGATTTTGACCTTTTGGTATTTGCCTTTGGGCAGCTACCAACAGCACTCTGGGCTTGGTTGTGCATGTTCCTGGGGACACTGTTGGTGCCCTACTGGCTACTGTGCCGCTGGGGCACTGGGTACCAAGCCGTGCACTGGCATGGCCTTTACACGGCCTACTACGGGCTGCTGTACTTCGCCTTTCAAGTCCTGGGGTTGGGTGTCACGCCTGTCTATGTCGTGGTGCATTATTCACTCCCTCCAGCCTCCCGCTTCATTCTCATTCTTGAGCAGGTATTTATTTTGCCTTTGTGGATTATTTTAAACAACCCCAAGTGACATGCAGTTAACTAAATCCCCAAATATTTAAGCTTTTATTTGTTTCTACGAGACGTTTAATAATTTCCCTTCCACCTCTACCGATTTCATGGATTGTCAAGATTTTAGGGTTTTCGATTAATATTGGCCTTAGGATTTAGCTTATGGTTACTATAGCTGCCTCTAGCTGCATGCATCACATGACCCTAAGATGGAATGCGCATCATAAATTTGAATTATTATTGCTTAGAACGTATACAAATTAAAAAAATTACACGTGATTCGATGCCAGTATTGTAAGCTTAAGAATCAATGCTAATCCTTGAATCGTCAATACATTGTTATAACACGAGTTTCTATACCCACTGATTACAGCGTGTCTTGTATGACGTTGCCATGATTTTCTTTAGGGTTTTTGTTGCCACATCAACACGGTGATTTAATTTTATTTATATAATTGACTACAGTCGGTTGCTTTTAGATTTTTATCTCAATTGGTAGTCTAACCAACTGATTTGATTTGGAAATGTCTGATTAAAAATCAGGAACAGGATGACTTGTTTCTATGTAATCCCACAGGTGCGCCTTGTTATGAAAGCTCATTCATTTGTGCGTGAAAATGTGCCAAGAATCATGCAGAGCCATTGCAAAGGAGGTAAGTTTGTTAAAACAAAGATTTTTTAAATCTGAAACTGGTTCTACAATGTGTTTAAAGCACATTAATCATTACACACTGATCAACTACGCATGTCCCATCAAACAGCTGGGTTGAACAGATGCTCTGTGATCAGGTATGCCTTAATTTTCTCTCCATTTAATTGCAATACCTTGTTTGATATCCATATGGTTTGTTAACCGTTATTTCCCCTTTAGAGAAGACATTGCCATGATGATCAGTGATACAATTTTTGCTATTTTTATATCTGCAAGACAAATGCTTCAATGCATTATTTTCAAACCAAGCAATGCCTCATCCGCACATTTAGTGTGCGTGCTTGGATGCTGACCTTTTCGCTGTTTGACGACATACCATTATTTGTTTTTATGGTGATAATTGAAAAGGTTCACACAAGCTGAAGAAGGCAAAGAAAACATGAAGGGGCAGGAACTCCAGGCCACTCATACCAAACCTATATTTAGGGCTGCAATTAAACGTAGTAGAAAGTATATATGGCAAAAGTCCAGCAGGCAATAAAGAACCTGAAATGACATGGCACATTTCTAGATGTTATATACCGTATTTTCCCGCAAATAACCCACATACGCATATAACCCGCAGACGCATATACCCCGCAAAAGTAGCGTTTTGTGTAAAACAAATTTCAGATAGCCCACACCTCCATATACCCCGCATGCATTCATATCTTTAACGTGGTTACCGCAGCTTAATTCCATCATATTACATTTGTAATACATTCCACTATCAATTGTTAACATTAAAATCATAACTTGCACAAAGAAAACAAACTAACCGGAAACGAATGAACTTAAACAGTAAATAAGTAACAAAAGTAAATATTCAATAATAAGTAACACATAACTGGTAGATAAGTAAGTAAGCGTACTGTTAGGCTTACCAGCATTCGATCTCATATTACAGCTATTGGACCGGTAGTTACCCCTGTACAGTTTTAGCACTGGTAGATTGCGCACTGCGCAGAAAATAGCAGCACTACGGTAACGCCATTGCCTCCTGGCAACAAAGCCATTGGAAGTTTGAAACAAAGCTCATGGTCGCGACTGTATAGTGCTCAGCCAATAGCAGCGGCCTAAGGGACTCGGCAATTATAATTCCGCGTCTAGTAGACTTGTTTAAGGCCCTTCCCATTGTGCAATCCATAGCCTCAGCTGAAACTTTCCGCACCCCCCTACAGCCACTGAAAGTAATACGGTAAACAAAGTGCGCCCACTCCAAACATTGTCGTTTCATTGTACAAACAATTCAAATAATTTAAAACGTGGTAACATGTGCAATTTTAGTGTGATTAGTTTATTCAGCAGTGCTTTAGTCAAAGGTAAGTGTTGCATAGTGGATAGTCCTACCATGAAAAAATGAAACGAGTTATGACATGTCACACGTGTAAAATATTTTTGGGATAGGCCGCACCTCCATATACCCTGCAGGGTCTTGTTTTGTTTGTAAAAAGTGGTATACCCCGCGGGTTATATGCGGGAAAATACGGTAATTGACATGCAAACTTTTTACATTGAATATATTGTTTTTTCAGATTCTCCACCTAAACTGCCAGATTTCAACCATTACCTCTATTTCCTATTCTGTCCAACACTTATTTACAGGGACAGTTACCCAAGGTGAGTTCCCAAGGCATTAAACATTCCTTAGAGTACAGTCTGTTCTCCTATAATGCGGCAGTTGCGTTCCTGAAGAACAACGCATTATGGAAAAATCGCGTTATAATTAAAAATATAGGGTAAAGCACAGTCCTCGATAACGCGTGAGAAGCGTATGCAGGCTGAATAAATACTTAAGGTGTGCATCCCGCCTTGTGTGATGCTTTGCCGAGGCAGCCATACAACCGCTTGTTCCTACTCGCGCGACCATAGTTCTGTTCACTCAATCGCATTATATCCAATTCGCATCCACGTTACAAAAATGTGTTCCCTAATACATTCATCACGTTATATCCAATTCGCGTTATGAAAACTCGCATTATAGGAGAACAGAGAGTACTCGTACTCTTTGGTTCTTTCAGTAAAGTCACATAGGTAGAAAAAAGAATAGATCACGACGTTTCGATCGCCACGCAAGCAATCGTCCTCAGGTGGGATAGAGAAACAGGCTGTTGAAACAAGTCCTTACATATATATAGAGCCAAGAGGGGGGAGGGGGGGTTGCCGCATCGGGCAAGAGGGTGGGGGCTATAGATTGTGCCTAAGCGAGTGGGAAATCATAAGATGGGAACCGAGATGGGGGTAAAGGGGGTGGTTGATGCGGAGAGCTGCGATAGCTGAGGAGGTGGCCATTGTATTGTGAGAGAGGTGGCTGTGTTAGTGAAACATCCAGCTCATTAGGAAAAAAACGACACCACATCGAGGGAAGGAGAGAGAGACACCGAGAGGCACACACAGAGAGATACACACAGAGAGAGACACATACAAAAAGAGACACGAGAGAGACATATAGGGAGACAAACAGAGAGAGAAACGCACAAAGAGACACACAGAGAGAGAGACACACAGAGAGAGAGACACACACAACAACATTACAGCCAGTTATAGTCTGCTAATAAACGAGAGCCACCGCCACATCGAGGGAAAGGGGCAACGTTGGCTTTGTTAGTGAGACATTAAGCTCGTTAATACTGGTAGGAACCTCCTGGTTACACCAGCCCACAGGGGATTATTGTGTCCGTCCGCCGTGCATACAAAAATGGGAGGGGTGGGGCTGGGTGGAGAGGGGAGGGTGGGGAGGGAGGGGCTGGGTGGGGAGGGTGGGGCTGGGTGGGGAGGGTGGGGCTGGGAGGGGTGGGACTGGGTGGGAGGGGTGGGGCTGGGTGGGGAGGGGCTGGTGACCCCGTGGTGCCTTTATAAAACTCAACGTTTAACCTACTCACGCCGGCTTGTGCCCGCCCTCACAGTCGGGCATATTTGCGGAATACACCACGTCGCTGTTGACCCTGGCCATTGACCGAGCAACCCAACGTTCCTACCAGCTCCCTCCACAGGAATGTGTTGTAAAGACATTTAACTTGGTAATGTAAATTGGCAATGTAACTCAGAGAGTCGGAAATAACTGCTGACAATGGCAGGTAGGATGGAAACATCAACAACCAATTAAGGATTTACCTGGTTAATAACGTCCTTCCAATGATTACTCAATTTGTACTCATCTTCTCGGTTAAAGTTATGTCTGTGTTTATATATCTGGATGGCTTCATGAACACATCTTTGATGGTAGCCTGAAGGTTTGCAGAGTACCTTGGTCTCAGAAAAAACAATATCATGTGAGAACGCAGCGTTCAAGCATTTATTAGCTATGGCAGAGGTATCGGTTCTGCCGTGTTTCAATGTAACTGCTACCGCAGACACAACTTAGTTTATTTACACCAGGGTATTGCATGTCAAGAATTACATCTTTCACAGATGGGATTAGGTAACGGATGTTGTGTACTGTGTTGAATCGAACCTGAATCTTGTGTTCAAGATTTTGGAAATCTTTTTGGTAACCCCTGCTATGTATGGCAAGGTGATGGTTTTGATTGGGTCCTCAGATGGTTCTCTACCCATGGTTGGGGATACAGCTTTGCGGATTGTGCGGTCCGAATATTCATTCATCCTGACGGCTTGGCGTACGTGCTCCAGTTCACTGGACAGGCAACGCTGTCGTGAACAGTGCTGTGGGGGGGAGAGCCAATTCCAATTGGCCCTCTCCCCTCATGGCGTCTGTGACCACCACAGTGGCTAAATGGGGGCTCTGGACGGGTGCGAGGGGCAATAAATTACCACTAGACCACGACTGAAATATCTAACTAATAAGCTTGTGCCAGAGGCCCCGGGGGGACGGGCGTCTATGACGTCTCCTGGCCAAACCCCATCTGGCGGAGCCAGGAGATTGAATCTTTACCCTCGGGGCTCCTCCAAAAACAACGAAAAGCCACTACGGATGGCCACATGGAATGTTTGAACGCTCACTGCGGAGCAGAGGCTGCCACTTCTCTGTCAGGAGCTGGACCGGTACCACCTGGATCTCTGTGGCATTCAGGAGGTCCGGTGGACCGGCTCTGGCTCCTGCCACCATGAGGGGTGGACAGTCCTCTACTCGGGGCAGGAGACTGCCAAACAACAGGGTGTGGCTCTTCTGAACAAAACAATGAAGGGGGCGTGGGAGCGTGGCGGTGAGGTGTGGAAGCTGTAAGCCCCAGGCTACTTTGGGCTCGCCTTCCCATCAACCGGAGGCGAGGAGTAGTGGTCGTGGTTACTTATGCCCCCACCGAAGATGAACATCCGTGGAGGGATGCAGGCAAGGCCGATGAGTCAGATGCCTTCTATGACCTCCTGTCACAGGTGCTGGCTAAAGTGGCCCCTCGGGATAGAGTCATCTTGTTGGGTGACTTCAATGCCCGAGTTGGTCATGACGGTGGCACCTGGTCTGGAGTGATTGGAAGGCATGGGCCAGATCAGCTCAATAACAACGGTAGGAGGCTGCTAGATTTTTGTGCAGCCCATTAGCTTATAATTACCAACACGCTGTTCCGGCATCGGCGCATCCACACAACATCATGGATGCTTGCCGGGTCAAAGCAAGAACATCTGCTGGACTACATAGTGACAGACCAGTGGATGCGAGCCCATGTCCTTGACACCAGGACCTACCGTGGAGCTGGTCTGCCCTCTGACCATCGACTAGTCATCTGTAAATTGCACCTGCCATTCTTCCACTCCGGTGGTGGGTGTACACCCAGGACCCCATTCCAACCAAAGGTGGCCTGGTCTCAGTTGATGAAAGTTGCAAGCGAGAATTCATCATCGCTTGCGGCTGGGGTTGGCATCGTCCCCCACTCCTCCTGATGTCGAGGGTAAATGGGCGAAGTTTAGAATAGTGACTCATGCAGCTGCAATGGCTGCTTTGGGTACGCGGTCCAGACCTCCCCAGAGACCCTGGCTGAGGAGGTGTTCAGGATGGTTGATAAAAAGCGACAGGCCCACTCTAATCGTCTACAGCATCCCACGTCAGAGAATGAGGAGGCTTACAGCAGCCTTCGCTCGGAGGTTCGGAGAGCTGTGAGGCACTGCAAGGATGGGTGGTGGTGGCGGGTTGCTGAGGAGATGGAGTCTGCCTCAGTGGCCCGCGATCACAAATCCCTATTTAACTCCATCAAAAAAGTAACCTGCAGCTCCACACCTATTACCATCATTAGGGGAAAAATGGTGATCCAATCTCCGACCCCCAGGAACAGGTTTGCAGATTTGCTGAGCATTTCTGTGAGGTCCTGGGGGAGGGGAAATCCCTCAGCCAGGAAAACATCGTGGCACAAAGTGGGGATGACCCTGCTGAGGCTGCGGTGCCTCAAATAAAATATTGGAAGAAGTCACCCCCTGTGAGTGGCTGGCTGAGGTGCCATCGGTTGAGGAAGTACTGAAGGCGATCCAGAGTCTGAGACCAGGAAAGGCACCGGGCAGAGATGATCTCCCAAGCGAAATGCTGAGGGAGGGTGGCGTTTGTGCAGACTGCCCTACATGACATCATAACAACAGTCTGGACCACTGGGCGGGTTCCGCAGGACTGGAAGGATGCCCTGGTGGTCCCCCTCTTTAAGAAGGGGGACCGCACAGACTAATAACTACAGGGGCATCTCACTCCTCAGTGTACCGGGAAAGGTCCTGGCAGGGATTATTCAACATCGCCTTGCTAGGCACACTGAGGAGAGGCTTGCGGAGCCCCAATGCGGTTTCAGGAAAGGGCGGTCCTACACAGATACCATATTTTCTGTCCGTCTGCTACAGCAGAGGTATAGGAAATTCCAACAAGACCTACATCTCTGCTTTATTGACCTGGTCAAGGCCTATCATACCATCAGTAGGCCTGGGCTCTAGGTTGTCCGTCATGCTTTCGGAGTCCCTGACCCTCTGCTCATGATCATTAAGGACCTTCATGATGGTGAGCAGGCTCGGATAAAACTACGTGGCCGGGAGTCAGAGCCATTCTCTGTACACCTTGAGGTGTGACAGGGATGTCCTCTGGCTCCCACATTATTTAACATCTATTTTGACCACGTAGTTCGTGAAGCCTTCAATAGCTGTACCGGGGGAATTTCCATTTGGTACAGATATAATGGGAGGCTAATCGATGCCCGGGTGCGGTCAAGGGATGGCTCCCTATTGGTCAACCACGTTATGTATGCCGATGAGCAGCAATTACCAAATCATTCAGAGGAGGAGTTGGAGACGCTGCTACAGAAACTGGAGCGTGTCACTAAGAGGGGGGGCCTTACCATCAGCCCTACCAAAACTAAGCACCTGCCTGGGTATTTTGTACCATCGGATACTCCACCCCCACAACTCCCAATCGGTGATGGGGCAGTTGTGGAGAGAGTGGAGAGTTTCCCATACCTGGGCAGTTTGCTCATGACCGGCTCCAGTTTAACAGCAGAGGTCTCAATCCGATTCAGTCGAGCGGCAATTTCTTTTCATCAGTTGCGTAATGCTGTGTGGAAGCTACCTGGTCTGTCGCTCCTCACAAAGCTTCAGGTCTTGTCGGCCATGGTCATTCCCTCCCTTCTCTATGCTTGCGAAACGTGGACCCCCCTAATGGAGCATCTTCGCCGGTTAGAAACATTTAGGCTGGCCTTCCTACGATCCATCATGGGTTTAACCAGGCTGGATTGTGTGAGGAGCTCACAATCCTTGACAGATCTGGGCAAAGTCCTGTCGGTGAGCTCCTCCAGCGGGCAAGGCTGCGTTGGCTTGGTCATGTATCCCGCATGCCCAGCCACCACATGCCTAAACAGCTTTTGTTCGGCCGGATAGAGGGGGCTAAACGGGCGCAGCACGGGCTAGAGAAGAGATGGAGTGATGTGGTACAGGCGGACGTGGAGCTGAGTGGACTTGCCGATGACTGGTACCAGCGGTGTCAAGATCGGCCTCGGTGGAGGAGGCTCGTGAAGGACGCTACTGGGCAGTTGGAGGCAGTCGCCCTCCAACAACAACGGAGGGCGGAGGAGCGACGCTCACAACGAGCGGAGCACCGGGTGGCTAAAGCACGGCAAGTTGGCACAGTAGGGGGCACAGGTGGTGCATCAGCCAGTCATCTCGGTCATCTCAGTCAGTCGACCTGTGGCACCTGGGTCTGCCCCGTGACCTGCCAGTGGGCGTTCGACACTTCACGTGGCCTCAAGGTGCACATGACTTGACCGAAAGAACCAAAGAGTATGGATTCCTGCAGTCATGAAAGCTTCAAATCAAGAGAGTACTCATTTTGCAAGAGTTTTACATTGTTTTGCTCCGGTTCATTATATTTTCTCTCTTTACCTTGAGGAACAGGAGTTCACTTCAGGTTTGATAGTAATGTTTCTATTATTTTTACAGTTGCTAATGTCCATTGTTCACTTTTATACTTTTCAGGACCCCGACAATAAGGTGGAAATTTGTAGCCATGAACTTTGCACAGGTATTACATTTTAACTCGTAAAAATCCTAACCCAAGTGTGCTGCGTTTACATAACACGCATTTACACTGCATGACATGAAAAGTGGATTTCAAATGTAAGTGTTGTCTCAGTTTCACGTTGTATATGTCCACAGGTGCTCGGATGCCTGTTCTACGCTTACTACGTCTTTGTAAGACTGTGCATTCCACTGTTCAGAAACTTTGGCAAGGAGCCTTTGAGCATACGGGTGCTGGTGTTGAACATGTTTAACTGCACCTTGCCTGGTGAGTTCAGTTGCTGTGGATGCAGAACAAACTGCCTATCGAGTGGATGACACGGTATTGGTGATTTAGTAGTGCCAGAGCAATGCATGGAGTAATAACAATTCTTAGGACCACGATACACGCATAAAATCGCGCATGTGAGAATTTACGTTTTTTGTTTTCATTTGAGTGGCCAGTGGGGATCGGAGGGAGGCGGTAAATCATTCCACCCTGAGTGATTAGTCTGGTCATAAGATTCCCTTACTCAAATTTTGTAACGAAAAAATATATTTGGAAATTGATGGTAAATGGCTGTAATATTGTGATTTCTGGTCATCTATACAAGTTTCAATAATGTAATGCAACTGTCTATTTTTTTCAGGTGTTCTTATTTTGCTTTTAGCCTTCTTTGCCTTCCTGCACTGCTGGCTCAATGCCTTTGCGGAGATGCTACGGTTTGCGGACCGTATGTTTTATCAGGTCAGGGATACAATAAAATACTCATCTATGTCATTGCTTTTCTGTTCTTTTATTCTAATGCTTCATTTACACGTTTTATAATTCCTGTTAGTTTAGAGTGAGGCATAGTGCTATCAAGGCACTTCAGCAAGACCCATTAAATTATTGAATAGCCACAATTTGTGAAAACATTTTCCCAGAGTGGCTTATCCATTTCAGTGATTTAAAAAGCGAAATTATATCAGAACTTTATAAACTGTTGTCACCTCATATTATTGGTTCTTTCGGTAAACTCATGTAGAAGGGAAATAATAGAATAATAAAAATAAGACAATAAAATTCTCACAACGTTTCGATTGCAACACAAGCAATCATCATCAGGTGTGAAAACCACAGCAATACAATTGTACACACTAAACTAGCAGGAAATATAAAAAAGTGTAAAATTTTCTTGCTCTGGTTTTCATACCTGATGATGATTGCTTGTCTTGCAATCGAAACGTCGTGAGAATTTCATAGTTTTATTTTTATTATTTTATTATTTCCCTTCTACACGAGTTTACCGAAAGAACCAATAATATGAATCCCTGCAGTCGCGAAAGCTTTGAATCAAAATTTGTTGTCACCTCAATCAAATTTTTGCTCCTCAGACTGGGAAAGATGCATGTGGGAATTATTTGCCCTACTCATTGTTGCGTACATGCATGAGGTACAATTGATGTGAAATATCTTCTCGCAGAAGTTCAGGACTCCTATTATTATGTTACTAAACATAAATGTGACAAACGAGGATGGCTAGGTTGGTAACAATTACTGCACCAGTCTCGACACAAAGCTAATACTTTCATTGTGGAATTGCAGGGGCTGACTTTGGGGGGAAAGATACAGTTCATTAACCATGGGTTGTGAAAACATGTTCTGCTGCAGGACTGGTGGAATTCCACTTCATTCGCCAACTATTACCGCACGTGGAATGTGGTGGTTCATGACTGGCTGTATTATTACACCTACCGGGATTTCCGCTGGGTGAGCCAAAAAAAATATTCAATAACTAGTATTCTCCCTCTATATTTGACACTCAGTATTACATTTCAATGTGGTATTGAAAAAAATATAGCATTCGTTTGAAATAAAGAGCAATGCAATTGCAATAAAAAATTTTTGCTGTGGCTGTTACCGATATCTGTGTGTACTGCAGGCTTTCAGCGGGCGATTTAAGGCGGCGGCCATGTTTTCAGTGTTTTCACTCTCGGCCGTTGTCCACGAGTACGTGCTCACGGTCTGCCTCGGCTTCTTTTACCCCGTCATGTTCGTACTCTTCTTTGGATTTGGCAGTAAGTTTTTTCTGCTCATTTCATTTGCACATACATCAAAGTACATCACCGGCGTGTCCGTAAAATTGACGAGGGCTGATGGCGCGCTTTAGTTGCTTTCCTTGGTCGTAGGTTTATTTAAGGGAACCAATAGGCTCATTTTATTTCTACAGCTTGGGAGACGATCAGCCCCCGTATTGTCCATCTGCCTCAATACGCTTCACGTGTTGTTTTCATAATAACTGAAAAATTAAAACTAATTGTTATGAAACTTGAACACATTGCCTACTAATATAAATGCCCATATTTATAGTTTTTTGGGGAGAAAGAATTATGTCATGCTTTGTACCAGCGCATACGGCGTAATACTGTACACCTGGGTGTAAGCGTGCATGCCTAATGTGAGCGTAAATATGCACGTTGTATAATCATTCGTATATTATTAATACTGTTGAATATTCTAAGAAAATTAATGCTTCTTTTTGAGACTAGTTAAATGATGCTTCTATCAATAAATCAGTTCTATCATAGTTTCAATTTGGCTAGCGTCTCCTGCCATTTCTTGGTAGACAAAGCAAGCTATATGCTTGCGTTTCCTGGCATTGTATTTGGCTTCTTCTGCATGAACCCTCACCCATATTGCTTTTTTTCACTGTCAGACTTAGCACCCTTGCCACACCTCAACCGCAATGGTTTATATTGTAAGCTCACATAATGAAAACGTGTAATAATTACCCATTAAATTTCGATTTAAAGCTTTCGTGACTGCAGGGATTCATCTTCTTGGTTCTTTCGGTAAAGTCATGTAGAAGGGAAATAATAATAAAAATTAAACATTTAATAATTCTCACGACGATTCGGCCACAACGAAAGCAGCCGTCCTCAGGTGAAGAACAGGTCTGTCGGGAAGACAGCATCTGAATGGGCACCACCAGGCTTGGCAGCGTATATTTAAGCTGGGTTGGAGGGGGGAAGGGGTGCCTTGACAAAGGAATTTGCATATCAAGAGGAATTTAGCATATTTATGGGAAATGCAGATATGGGATTAGTCAAAGGGAGGGAGTAGGGTTAGCAGTAATAGAGGGAAGGAATTTTAATAATAAGGAGCTGCAGCAGCTAAACCACCACGTAAAAAACTAAAATATAAACTACATCAGTATCATCAATATACTAAATATACTCTCCAATAAGCTGAGCTACTAACAGTAAGTCATACATTACAATTCTATGTCGCAAAAAATATAATATGCCTCCAGCTAAACTTTGTTCTCTTACATCACACGGGTCTACCCCGTACTATATACTGCCGACAAACCCAACATTAGATTATATACTGAATCTGATGGCTGTGTGTATGGAATTGATGTGGTCGAGGAATTGGTCTAGAGCAGGCCGGCCATGTGGCCAGATGACAAAAGAGTCATCTACGTACCTCTTCCATAAGGTCGGGCGTAGAGTGGCAGTCTGGATGACATCAGTCTCAAATTTCTCCATGAAAACGTTGGCTACAACCGGAGATAGGGGGGAGCCCATTGGGGTGCACTCAGTTTGTTTGTAGAAAGTTCCATTACAGGTGAAGTATGTATTGGTTAAGCATAATAAATAGTATAAAAGTGTAATGTTTAATAGAATGTATAAGGTAATATATAGTATCGTAATTGTATAGTGAATATACAGCAGTGTGGTATACAGTAGGGTGGGTAGAATAATAAATAGTGTAATATTACAATGTATAGTCTAAGGTGGTGTATATTAATGCAGTATAGAATGTAATGTTGGGTTTGTCGGCAGTATATAGTACGGGGTAGTAGACCCGTGTGATGTAAGAGAAAAAAGTTTAGCTGGAGGCATATTATATTTTTTGCGACATAGAATTGTAATGTATGACTTACTGTTAGTAGCTCAGCTTATTGGAGAGTATATTTAGTATATTGATGATACTGATGTAGTTTATATTTTCGTTTTTTACGTGGTGGTTTAGCTGCTGCAGCTCCTTACTATTAAAATTCCTTCCCTCTATTACTGCTAACCCTACTCCCTCCCTTTGATGCTGCTAATCCTGCATACTGCATTATGCACTGGCATAATATGACTTTGAAACCCCCCCCCCACCTCCTACGCATTCCACAAGTAGTGACTAATCCCATATCTGCATTTCCCATAAATATGCTAAATTCATCTTGATATGCAAATTCCTTTGTCAAGGCGCCCCTTCCCCCCTCCAACCCAGCTTAAATATACGCTGCCAAGCCTGGTGGTGCCCATTCAGACGCTGTCTTCCCGACAGACCTGTTCTTCACCTGAGGGACGGCTGCTTGCGTTGTGGCCGAAACATCGTGAGAATTATTTTATTATGTTTTATTTTTATTATTTTATTATTTCCCTTCTACGTGACTTTACCGAAAGAACCAAGAAGATAATTACCCATTGTTGAAATTTGTCACGGGAATGTTTTCTTGTATTCAAACAATATCCTCTGATTGGTGTATTCTTGTAATCCACTGGAAGTTGTTGCCCACATTGTATTTTGTGTTGTGAGTCGTGGATTTACTGTTCAAACAATTGGTCTCATCAGCTTTCATCTTAAAGAGTGCAGGCAAACAGATTGACATAATTGTCATTTACACTTGAATTGCACTTAAAATAGAGATACATTACAATTGTACTGTATACAGAATATCAAGCCCTGAAGGGAAATTTTCAGCTTTAGAAATAATTGGGTGGCAAGTGTCAAGTTAATTAGAAGAGAGTGGGTTATTATGTGGCTACTACAGATTATCCCTGGAGCGCTTAGGCTGAGACGCAGGTGACTGTGCTTCCCCCATGAGACTAGTTATGATGCTACATTGTGTTGATACATGCGGGCATCTGTAGCGTAAATAGCACCGTAACATGTACGTACCTTGTGTCCATTCTCACTCAAAGCGATCCAAAAATAGACACTTGATTTAACGATGTGTAGATTCGTTAGTTGACTACCCCATGTTTTTTACATTTTGTCCCAACTATTTTTTTCAGTAAGGTAATCAAGTCTATGTTTGATGTTGTTCACTTAGTAGTCTTTATAATGAATCACAGTAGGCTTTTAAACGACCAGAAATCAGAAATTCAGTGATCGTAACTTGAGTGTTTTAGAGGGTTATAGATGGGCATGCTATTCTTTTAATGTTAAAAGGGGATGCCATTCGGTTATTTTCTGGGTCTTTGCATATCATAGATGGCTTACCCTGACAGCTGGTCACTGGCCTTGGTATTGCTATTTTGGGACAAACCATTTAGAAGAATTGAAAAGATTATGTGATGGAGATATTGGGATTAATTTGACACGAGGGATTACAGTGCTTGAAAGTGGAAGGCCCCTATTACAAGCACAGAATTATTGCATTAGGATGGTCTGGTCTTTGGAGAGTCAGGGCATACAAAGACAGATTAAATCGTTTTAATTGTTTACTGCATATTCATATTACTGTATTTGATTCCATGAATTTATGGCAATGTAAACCATACCTGGGAGTAATTTTTTTTTTAACAAAGTGTAGCTTTAAAAAAAAATAGCAACGTCATATAGACGTGATTTTGATACTTTGGCGTCACAGCCCAAGATCATTACAATGAGTCGAGCTATACCTGTGACATGTCTGTCACAATCTGACAAATTGCATTAACTATGGCTTCCACCTTTCATACTCCCTTAATCCCAGCATAATAACAGTTGATGTTACAAAAAACTAGGGCACCATTTGCACTGTTTCTGTAAGATTAAATGAATAACGATGGTTAAGTGTAATATTAACTACACAAAGTTGTGGTTCTATATTTATTTCTTTCCTATAAAAGGCATTTTTTGTGTCTGTCTGTGGCCGACACTTGCGAGGGATTTGGCTCGCGAACGGTGGGGTTTATGTTTTAAAAAAGTACCCAGATAGCAGACCATAAGCCCCGTGGTGAGCCAGCGCTATTCCGATTTCGCGCCCGTCACCTTTAAAGTATTTTTAGTGCTGTTTTTGGTTATTCATTTAGTATGTCGCGCCTCCGAAGTGTGCGCCAAAGCACGCATCTGCGCATGCTCGTCCCTACCAAGTCACACACGTTCGGTGGGTGGGACAGTGGGCAATTCTCAGTTGTGTGGACACTGCAAGGTAACACATACCTTTACAGCTCTCTTAAAACATTACCATGACTGTTTACTCATTACTATTCCTGTTTAAAGACAGGGATTAACCAATGTTTGATGATAGTTACCCTAAGTAACACGATTTTTCTCCCTGAGTACCAAGTGCTACTCGAAAATTGTTATATACAAAATGGCCATTATTCCCCACAAACTTTGCTTTAGCGACCATGTCTTTATGTGAGGGCATGACACTTATGCACACGTTTTCTCTTTTAAAATAGGTACATTTCTAAATATCACTGTCCTGCTCACAAAAAACAAGTTTGAGGGGAAGAATAGCGTTTTTCTGTACTCTTGAGGTATAAGCAGCCACGTCATATCACTTACTGCACAGGGACAAAACAATAAATATACTGATAGCTATTATGTCTTCATTATCACATATTTACACTTGCCTCCTCAGTACGGGGGTTGAACAGTGACGTTATGTCAATTACGCTTGATTGGCGCGCATCTGCTCATAGTTACAGGTATGATCGGGTGATACAGGTAGGAACAACAGTTCCACACTGCCCACCAGGGATTATTTGTCTGTCTGTCGTGCATGGCCCCGCCCCACCAGAGCCCTCCCATTGGCTCGGGGGCGCCGACCAATGGGAGCGGTGGGTTGAGGTTGGTAGAGGGGGGGGTTAGTGGTGGGGGGGGGGGGCACCGCCGTGACTCGGGCCAATGAGACGGGCGATGTTTAATTCACAAAATGGAACTGGGGGGGAGGGTGGCTCCATTCATAAAATGGAAGCGGATCTTTTTGCCTCGTGTTTCTTTCAACATTCCTAGCCTTAAGGTAATTCAGTTGGGGGTGGGAGGGGTGGGGTTGGGGGTGGGAGGGGTGGGCGGGGAGGGGAGG